AAAAATGAAATCAAAGTATCTCATTCTTCCAAAAATGATACATCTAGACGGGAATCAGATCTTGAAAAATTATTAAATATTACAGAAAAAATTGTTACACATCCATCCTTATCTCTGTAAGCTGAGAGTATCTTTCTGCTAGAACTTTACCTGCATTTAATGCTAAGTCAAGCCATTTTTCAGTTCTCAAGAGACGTTTTTCAAGCTCTTCGCATTTTTTTTTAAGTCCTTCTCATTACTTGGGTTAGAGAAATCGGTAGATACTTCAGCCGAATTATGCGAACTCTCTAGGTCCCACTCCTCTTTTGGCGGATCCTTGGCTACTGGAGTCTTGCTGAATGTTGGAATAATATAAGACTTTCCATGAACCTTCATGCGAAATTGGTTTTTATTTGGGTCAGGCACACCTTGAACCTTTCGAATATTTGACATGCCTAAAAATAGTATCGGTTTGGGTTCGCCATTATCAATACATGCAAAGTTTCCAGTAATTGTAACTGTTTTACTTTCCTTATCCTTTATACTAATTGGCACATCTATAAACCATCCTAATGAATTAGTAATATGTTTGGAATTACCCTGTATTGCAAAATTAAATGGCCTATCACTCTCCCATCCAAGCGCATTAATTGCCAGATCATTTATGGCTCCAAACTTGCTCCCAGGATCTAAAAAAGAATCAGAAATTGGTAGATCATTTATATTACAATGCAAATACTGTAAAGATGAAAACTACTCATCTGATTTCTTTGATTCCTTTTTCTGAGCCTTTCGGGACAGACACATTTTTCATATTGGTAGTGAAAGCTTAGTCAAAAGCTGGTCATATGTTTCAGGCTGGTTATTTTCTATTAATACTTGTTTTTTTTTTCTGACGCATCATACCCAATCCACCTATTATTTTCTTCATCATAACTGCCCCCATTATAATCCTTATTATCTGAATCTGGAGATGTGTTTTAGATATTTATAGGTATGAGAGGCTTAAAATAAGACCGATTAAAATTAGATCGCGCAAATGATTTATTAGAGCAACTGGCTTTGCTATGGTCTGTATCTCCACAAATATCACATTTACGTATATATAGTTTTTGTAATTGATTTGTTATTTGATTTACAGCATCACGAGTTTCATTTATCACCTCTTCTACTCTATCAATTCTAGCAGAGACATTGCTTTGTTGTGGGCGAGGTTTTTGAAAAGGTTTTACAGGATAAGCTGAGTCTAAATCTTCTTTATTAAATATGCCTAAGTCTTTCATGAATTCAGCTACATAATAATTTTTGAGACCTTCTTCGGATTGCAATGAAGATGGTGGACCTCTCGGCTGTCTAACTGGTTCTACAGTTTGCGGAGCTGGTGCCTCTACTTTTTGAGCAACTGATTGCTGGGCCATTTGTGATTGTAATTCGGTAAGTTTCTTTACTAATACCTGATTTTCAGTTTTTTGCTGTGCAAATGCATCATAAAATGTTTTTTGTAAATCTACCAATCCTTGCTGTTGAGGCACATTATTGGGAATAATAGGAGGAGCTGGTATATAATTATAATATAATGGTGGCAGACCTAATACTCCACGACGTAATTCAAGTTCTGCTAAACTATCAAGAATATCATTAATAGCCCTGTGCTGACCAATCCTATAAATTTCCTCCTTTATATCATCTCTTACTCCAGACATAAATTGTGTTTTCTTTTGCGCTGGAGTATAACCTAATTGATCTCCATACTTTAGAATTTTTGCCAAATAAGAGGATGCACTTTCATGCGCTCCTTGTTTTAATGCCCCAATTTCAAACATTCTCAAATATCTATCAGTAGATGGAAAATGCTTTTTAATTTGAAACAACCTTTGTCCAGACCGGATTCCTGCAAGAATAATAGGAACTCCTCCTCTAGCATTTGGTGCAACTGGTGCTGCATTGGTTGGTCGTCCTCCAGCTATTGTCCAATCTTCATCAAGTCCTCAAGCTGGGATAATGTCTGCACCTGCACTACCTGCTAGAATATTTGGGAAAGATGCGGCCGCTCCTGTTATAGCTGCTGCATTGGCTGCACGGATATTCGTAATAGCTGCACCTATAGCAGAATTATCAAGTACGTTTTGTAACTCCCAGTTTTTGTTATCAAACTCTCTATTGTACCACTCTCGCACTTCTCCTTTTACTGATTGGTCTAATATATTGCGAATTCTTTGCTCATTATTTATATTTGCTAAATTGATATACGCTATAAAATCATCTATATACTTTTCATAATCCTGTTCAAAGCTATTTAATTCAGGCATTACAAACCCTGCAAGTAAAGCCATGTTTATTTGATTTGGGAGGTTATTCTGTAGCACAAAAATTTGTTGATTTAAAATTAAAATATTCTGGCGAGAATTAATTTCCCGAGCCTTCCATTTTTGATACCGATTAAATACCCAGGCTCGATTAAATTCTGACAAGTCAGCCTCAGTTTTGCACCTTCGATATAATAGCTGAAGTGCTAGTTTTTCTCCTAGCAATTCACCAATATGGGTCTGCTTTCTTGCTATACAATCTATCATTCTGTTTACTTGGTTTTGAGCATTAGTCCGTAACTGATCTCGCTCTTGCAATGCCTGATCTCGCTCCTGCCTATATATATCACGGTCATATTGTTCATTTGCTAGTTCTTGTTGTAGGAAAGTATATTTATGTCGAATTGCTCTTATTGCTCTTTTAATTTGATTTGTTAAAATAGTTTTACATATTGTTGTATCATCTAGGGATCGGTCTATAGCATCGGCCAATTTAGCTATTGTAGCTATGTCTAAATCAAAATTATATAAGTCTGAAGAATTTTCATCTGAATCAGATTCATCTTCATTATTATTCCACGCTTGTGCATTTTGTAAAGCCTCTCGTGTATTTATAAGTTCTAATCTATCTCGGTATCTTAATAATGCTAGCACAAAATTTTGACAAAGAAGGTCTGTAATACGATTTTTTTGTTGGGTTATTTTGTTAATTCTTTTAAATTGATTATCTCTTACCGTATTTATTTCTCGTTTAAGACGCTCATTTTCATCTACTAATCTTGTTGTATAATCTTGTGCTTTAGGCGTGTTTCTAGCTGATTTTGATATTTCTCGTATTCGGTTTTTTAATTTTGTTTCGCGCTCATCGAATTCTAATATTAATATATCTTTATTAGAAATTTCTTTGTCTTTCTTTTTATTTTCTTCCTCAAGTTGGCAAACGATTCTTTTTAGTTTTGAGATTTCTTCTATTAATTCTTCTTTCTCTTGTATAGAAAGTTCGATAGCGCTATTCAATTCTTCTTCAAGAAATCGTATTCTTTCTTCTCGTATACCTATAATTCTTTCTAAGATATATAGTTGTTTTTCGAAATTTTTATTTGATTCTGCTAGTTGCGATACTACCTCATAGAGTTCTTGATTACTTTGTTGTAATTCCTTCATATTTTTATTTACTATAAAAGAAAAAAATCAGAATAGGGGAACTGGTTATTTATATCGATCCAGATAAGGCCCAGAGAATCGAAAAGAATCTTATTTTACGAGAGATATATTATCGACCTGAAGGCTATTATCGAACTGCTAAAAAAATGCAGGATGCTTGTAATAAAGCCAGATATAAGTTTTCTCTATCTGTAATAAAAAATGGCTAAACCACCAGGCTTTATTTCAGATTCACAAGCCTCGACCAAAGTTTATTCAGTATGCTTCCTTTAATAATATTCAAATTTTAAATGAAGTACACCAGTCCGATACTACGGCTATGCCCCACGAAAAGGTTGGCAATCGAATTTACAAGTATAGAGGTGTGATAAAAGATATTGCAACCAGATATCGGCACAGTTTTGCTTTGACTAATAAAACAGCTATGCAAATGTCTAGAGCAATTCAAAAAATTTATAATAATTCGAATTGCCCACTCAGCTGGCCAAAAGTTTTAATCATAGACAAAGGAACTGAATATTTGGGTGAGTGTAGAGATTTATTACTTAAGTATGGCGTAACAATTCAGTATGCTAAAAAAAAAGAAGGTAATGCTATTGCAGAGCGTGATCACTAAGAATTTGAAAAACATTCTTTTATTCAACAAGATGCTAAGGATTTGCTATTACCTTTATTCAAAAGATCTAGATCATGGGTTAAAAATCTTTACATAAATAACGATCTATTTAATAGCACTCCTACTCGGCAAATAGGTATGTCTCCTAATGAAGCAGTAAAAAAAGCACTAAATGGTGAGAAAATTATTGCTAAGCCAGCTGTAAAGCACAGAAGACCTATCAGATATGATGAACCTTGTTTATCCCATTTTGACATAGTGAGATATCTTCTTAAGCCTGGCAAACTAGAACATAGTCCTGCTAAAAGAAGAATAACCGATATGAATTGGAGTCCTCAAGTTTATTATATCCGTAAATCTTAGGTACAAAAAAATCAACCAATTTATACTAGCTAGAAGATGAAAAAGGTAATGGTTCAGAAAGATCTTTTGTAAGAGAGGAGCTTCAAATCGTAAAAGATGTTGTTGAGTACCCCCCTCAATGGGTGCTTAATAATTAAATTTGATGAATTGTTTCATTTAGTCATATACGTATTATAATTTGTAGCGCTAATCATTTTCTATCAATATCTGTTAATCTGCACTTATTCGCTCTCTACCAAAGCATACCATTCTCCTGAAGTATACCTACCATTTTTTTCCATTCCTCATCAGTATCAAGCCACGAGGTTGTGATTTCTTTATCTTCAAGATCACGACGAATAATTTCTTCCCCTATCAATCTTTCCCGTATTTTCATATCCATATATTCATTGGGGTCTTCTTTCACATCTTTCGCATAACTACATATTCGTGCATCAGTTTCCATCCTATCTCGGAATGTAATGGAGTTGAGTCTGTCTTTTTCTGTGATTCTCATGAAGATGTCTAGATCTTCACTGAGTTCGATTGCCCTTTTTCTGAGGCGTTCTTCGCGCTGGGCTCTGGATAAGAGAATGGAGGGGCTGAGAGACACTTTGCATAATAGCTCGTTACTAGATTTAATAGATTCGGGTGGCTTTTTGATTACTGGTTCAGGGGAAACTCCTTTATCACTAGGACTGATAGTCTCTGGAGATCTAGATTCTTCAGAAGTTCTGGATGTTGAGGCAACTAGGGGTTTAGCTTGTTCTACTACATAGTCGAAAAGAGCTTGGATCGAATTATCCTGTTTATCTGAATTCTTTTCTGGTTGAGAAGGGGCTATCTTGGGAGGACTGATTTCTGGCGAATTGAATATAGGTATGTCTGTGGATTCATTTGTGGGTAAGTCGGCTTCAGGTATATCAGAAAATTTTTCAATATCACCTACCAATTCACGGAGCCTAGCTATGATTTTGGAGCGGTCAAGGGTATAAATCTATTTTATCTTTCCATCAACTCGCGCTCGCTTTCGATCAATACTAATTAGGGAAAATTTTCCCCCAGTGACTTTATTGATTAATGGCTTTTCACCATTATTCTCACACCATTCAAGATATTTTTGGTATAAATTATCACATATTATTTTTTCAGTATATCCTTCTGACCATGATATAATGTGATTAATGATAAATCAGATAGGAGATGGAAGCTGGTCTCGCATTGTTTCTATCTTCATTTTAGTTGAAGAAATATTACGTGGCTTCTATTCCGAAAGATTAAGACTAAGCAAATATGATATAAAAGATCCAGGTGTATTGGGGTGGTCGAGAATCCCTCCCAATTGATCAAAATATGTGAAATTGTTTTTACAGTGAGGGGAGACATCTAAACATACAATACATCCATCTCCCATTTCCACTCGAATCAGAGCATCATGATTACTTAGAATTATAAATCCGGCGAAATGGTTACAATCCTGAGATTCAAGACCTTTACATTCAATTGAAACATAGTCTTCTGTAATAAGAGATTTTAAGTGATCATTTGTTTTATGCCATTCACCACTAGCCATTCCTGTTTCATTCATAATAATAAGCTTTCGTGCCTGAATGGAGCTATTAAATCGTCCAAGAATTTTACTGAGATCGGAGGTCGAGTAAACAAGTTCTGGTCCAAATAAGCTTTTCCAAATAAAATCAGTAATAATGTTTTTTCCACAACGTGGTGGAGAGCGCAATACAAGAATAGTTTCAGGAATTGTACTTGGATACTGAACTAGGAATGCAAACCATTATAGGACATATTCGGAAAGATTTTTATCTCCATTGCATCAGATATTTTCTATATGCCAGATAATGGGATCCACGAGATCATAGTTAATTTGGAATGTCGGTTTGGTCTTAAATCTTAAGAAAAGATTAAAGAATTCAGTCTTTGGTGGATTAATATTTGGAGGATATGGGAGAAAATTAATATCATCATAATGTATTACGCCACTAGTGAGGGCATGATTGATCAATAATTTTAAGTTTATTGATTTACCCTTACATTCGATTATATTAATCTTAAACTCAGCAAGATCTAATTTAGGCCCCATATCGAACATAAGTCTACCATTTGGATTCCTATGTTTGAGAATCCATGTTTTCATTTTTTTTTGAACACAGGCAATTGTTGCTTGGATCGCCTCATAGACATCAGTGCGAGAGAAATTTTTGTCTGAAGTACATATACGCAATAAGTCACCCCATACGAAGTGATCATTTGGATCAGAAATTCTGGGACGTTCTATTTTTTGGGGAGGTAGTAAACTTTTTTCCCAGTTTTTAATAGTCTCATTAATGACAAGTTTTAATGAAGGTTTCTTTGTACCTTTAGGTGTATCTTGATCTGCACGATGACAATAATAATGATAGGTTTTTTTATTTCGAATAATATATGTATTTTCATTAGTATGATCCCGGTTACATAAAGGACAATGAGATTCTGTTATACGTCTTAAAGTAAAAATATTTGAAGACACAGGAGTTGGATATAAAATATCAAAACCTTTGATATTCATTATATTTAGTAGTTTCTCTACATAATAGACCTCAGCTCCAATAGTTCCATTATCTGCTTTACTATTTTTCACTGTTTCTTTCAGAATTTCTAAGAGAGGGCTTTCTATGACTTCTGATTCATCGTTAGGTGGATGAATCATAAAGTCAAAAATAGAACCATCTTTTGGATACATTGCTTTTTTAACACGAACATGTTTTTTCGTTTCTTCCTTATACTTGGGTGATCCAAGCATTCGCAAGGAGAAAGAACTTTTATTTGCTATATTATCAATAATGCTTTTCTCTTGTAAACTTACTGGGAGTTTTTTACAGACAAGCTCAGTAAATACTGCGACCTGAGCGATGTTTTTAAGTCTCATACCAAAAGTCGTGATATGGTATGACATTTTTTTTGCATCATTACTACTGGCAATGGTTATAGTTTTATGGTCCCATTTCGGGAATATCTTACGACACGCCTTTATAAAAGCACTAATAAGTAAATCTTGTATCTCTTTACCTGAGAGTTTAGGCTCAATAGAATTGTATATCTCTCGTAACAAATCAAAATCTATAATAGGATGGAGTAGTTCATCTCTATCGATAAATTCATGTAAGGAATGGTCTTCACGATTTGAGAGTATAGCCTCTATACCATCTTCATTATCTGCACCAAGAAAGTGCCTTGGTCTTACACTATTATCACGAATTTTATATAGGCATTGACCTATATCGGAAGCTTTAAACCCACAATAGAACAGGGTGGGGGTGCGTCGGGGAACTCCGAAAGCTCTGATTGTTCAGTCATTTTTTCAAAAGAAATTTTCTAGCTATACCAAATCTAAAAGTATAATACTTACAAGAAAAAAGTTTAAAATGAAAATAATTCCCAAGATTATTAATCAATATACACAAATGGCATTTTATCATTGTCCATACGTTCTTAGAACCGGAGAGGTGTGTAATCGGAGATGCTATCACCCAAAAGGATGCAAAGTCCATCAGAATTCTTCTGAACAAGTCCCCTGCAAAGAATGCGGTAAGTCGACTATTTCTGAATCTGGGTTTTGTAATACACATGCAAAAAAATATCAAGCCAGAGAGCAATATCACCGAAAAAAGCTAAACAAGATGGCAGAAGCACAGTTATTACCGAATGGTACAATACCCATTGATTACTAACAAACCTAGTTGAATCCATGTTTCTATCAAAATTCTTGGGAACACTATAAGAACACGATAGGAACTCTTCTGTATAGTGTCTTGGCCGTAAAAAGTAATTTGAATTATTTCTAAAAGGGTGTTTCTATGTTTCTATCCATTCCTATGAAAATCGAAGTTTTATACTTTTTTTTTTTTTTTATAGTATAAATATATACCATATATTTATTATATTATATCTAATAAAGATAGCATAAGAAAAAATGATTTTTTTTTTAGAACTTTTATCTTCATAGAAACAGATAGGAACATAGGAACAGATAGTAAAGAAAGCAATCAATCGACTCAAGAAAGTGAAAGTAGTATACAAACATGTTCCTATGAGCATTCCTATCAAAAATTCATAGGAACAAAAAATCTGATTGAGATTTGCCTGCACCCACTAGCGCTTAATTAAGTTTCTATTTATGTGGTGTTATTGGTACCAAGAATTCAGTTCAGGAATTGGGTGAACTGAATCTACATTTTTATTTATAAAACTTTGGCGCTAGGCCGATTGCATATTATTGATTATTAACATTCGGGCCAGCTTCTTTTTTAGTTCATTTAGTCTGCTATTTAGGTGCAAGAATAGGTCCAAGTTGTGATTCTGTTAGCTTGCCAATTTATAGGCGTCCACTTTCCACGAGCTACTGCCGGTTTATACTTCTTTATTTCTGCCCTTTTCAGCACTGAAGAAATGGAGTGCACTC